GATTGGAGAAAATGCAGTTGTATCTGAGAGCTTGGCTGTAGACAATGGATCTTGTGGTGTGTCCTGGATGGAAACTGGAGGCATGTAGGTAAGTATAGCGGTCAGTAGGTTTCTGGTATAGGGTGGTGTTTATGTGACCATCGCTTATTAGCACAGTAGTGTCTAGGAAATGGACCGCTTGTGTGGGTTAGTCTAGGCTGAGGTTGATGGTGGGATGGAAATTGTTAAAATCATGGTGGAATTCCTCGACGGCTTCTTTTCCATGGATCCAGATGATGAAGATGTCATCAATGTAGCGCAAGTAGAGTAGGGGCGTTAGGGGACGAGAGCTAAGGAAGCGTTGTTCTAAGTCAGCCATAAAAATGTTGGCATACTGTGGGGCCATGCGGGTACCCATAGCAGTGCCGCTGACTTGAAGATATATATTGTCCCCAAATGTAAAATAGTTGTGGGTGAGGACAAAGTCACACAGGTCAGCCACCAGGTTTGCCGTGATATTATCGGGGATACTATTCCTGATGGCTTGTAGTCCATCTTTGTGTGGAATGTTGGTGTAGAGGGCTTCTACATCCATAGTGGTCAGGATGGTGATTTCTGGAAGATCACCGATGGATTCTAGTTTCCTCAGGAAGTCAGTGGTGTCTCGAAGATAGCTGGGAGTGCTGGTAGCGTAGGGCCTGAGGAGAGAGTCCACATAGCCAGACAATCCTGCTGTTAGGGTGCCAATGCTTGAGATGATGGGGCATCCAGGATTTCCAGGTTTATGGATCTTGGGTAGCAAATAGAATACACCTGGTCGGGGTTCTAGGCATGTGTCTGTACAGATCTGTTCCAGGTGTATTCTATTTGCTACCCAAGATCCATAATGGGATGAGCACAATAAATGGGCAGGGGGACTGCAAGACTAAATCCCTGGAGGGAGAGGGACGTGGGTTCTGACCCACAGAGAGGTGATGGCTGGGATGCCCTTGAGCAAATCACAGAGGGGACCAGGAGTACAGTTAACTCTGGAACTGACAAGAGGCATATCAAATTGGGCACCCAGAATTAGTGTATACCTTTGAACTTCATCTCAATATGCCTCAGTTCCCCTCCGTAAAATGAGGATAATAATACCCCTTTATCTCACAAGTATTGTGAAAATAAATTCATTATTTGTGAAAAACTCAGATACAATAGCAATGAGCACCCCTAAAAAGCCCATGAAGAAATTAATCATTTTGTATTCGGAGCAGGGTTTGAATAGCGTGCAGTACGGCCTGGGGCCATATACTGAATAAGGAAAAAACAAACAAACAAAAGTTGTTCATTAGGTGATCATCCTCCATTGTGTGCACTGAATGAAGCTGGGTCAGCTGGAAAAAATAGTATGTGATCATGTAATTAATGACTATATCATCATAATGCATACACACAAGGGAGCCAAATTAAGGTTGCATGCACAACCTTAATTCTGGCATCTTCTAACTTCTGAGTGCTTGATTTTGCAACCTTTATGTTCTTTTAATATCGTTTTTTTCTGTATAGTAATATTAAAGGAAAACTGCAGATGAGTTTTAGGGGGGAAACAGTATGAAAAACCTAATATGACTGCAAGTAATGTGATCTCAGTGTAAAACATTTTGATGAAAAAATTACTTTTGGATTTCAACATTCCCTACACAGTGCTGGAGAGCCAAACCCAATCATGCTAGTGGATGAGAATCAGAGAGTGAAAATGACTAGACCCAAAGTGAAATTAAGCAGTCTAGTTTCACAATCCAAGCTGAGTTAAAGAGAGAATACATTACATTGTAAAAACTAACCTTGATATTTAAAATTATCCATCTTAATAATCCCATGCGTCATAAGTAACTCAAAGAAATATTTTTAAATAAAGAGTATAATTCTTATATTGACAGTAGTCCAGGGGCTTGTAAAATTCAGTGCACAATTTCAAAGCTTCTCTGTATTAATGTGAACCACTGCACGCTTTTTAGATTCTGCCTTAGTTTATGTTCTTTCACTGATAAGATACTTTGTACGGAGAAGCTTTATCAATTATTCCTGATATGTATTCATATTACAGTTTTGCCAACCCCAATATTTCAAAAATCCTCAGTCAGGCCCCAAAAAATCATGAGGCTGACTTAAAAATATAATATTTTTTTTATTTGCCTTCTGGCTTTTGAGCCTTTAGAGTACACATTGCCAAGCTTTTCTCTGCAACCAGGAAGTCTAGAAACTTTTATTTTTAAAAATGAAAGCTCAGATTCTGACATAATCATATGATTTCAGGAGGACGAGATTCCAGAAAACAACAAATATTGCAAGACTTGCAATAAAACTGCAAGAGCTGGCAATAGTTTATTTAAATAGGCAGTTACACACATTGCGGGCAGGCCTGTAAATGGAAAGATACAGTGATAGATTAGCACACAGGAACAGTGAGTTACCCAATGGAGCTCCTGCTTGGCAATCTACTATGTTCCTCATTTATAGATATGGAAAAAAAGACTTAAAACTCTACTGATCTTCTTTTCCATGAGACAACTACACCATAATAATCATACCTTACATTTATATAGCATCGCAAAGGATCCCAAATAGGAATCACTTTTTACATGGTACTTAAATGCAGCCAAGTCTAGGGTGGAATTCAGTAGCCAATTAACAGTACATGGAAACATTACACTATAGTTTATAAGAGAACATGAAAAATAATACCATAGCCAGTTGGAATGAGAAAGAATTATTTAGAATTGGCCAGAACATGACTTTAAACATTTGTTATTATACAAAATAGTGCCATGCAATTCTTTATTTACAAAAATGGTGAGCATCTTTGTGCTTCCTAGCATAATGCTGGAGCATTTGTGCAGCATTAACACAAAAGAAAATGACCTACTGATTCACTAATACAATTTTCTGCAGCACGTGGTTTTCCTGAGACTTGATGGTTTACATGGTCTGGAGTTTATCTAGCTGGGAACTAGAGGGGCTAAGAGAAGCCATTTGCTGCCTCAAAGGGTTGGTGTGTCTTTTGGCAGAGGTGGGGCATCAGTGCCTGTAACCAGTATCACCAACCAAGCCAAAGGTAAGTATTGTAGCATGTAAAAGTAGCATGTAAAAAGTGATTCCTACTTAGGATCCTTTGCGATGCTATATAAATGTAAGGTCTGATTATTATGGTGTATTTGTAAAGAAGTGTACCAGCTGCACGGACATTCTATTAATATTTTGGAAAAGGTCTAATTTCAAAGGCCTGTATAATAAATCTCTGTTTCTCAAGATAATGTGAAAGACTTTAAGATCAATGTCCCAGCCAATTTCCTGCTTGTCTGCTAATTTCTGTATTTAGTGCTTGACTTGAGGGTGGTGGGCGGGGGAAAGCGGGGGGTTGAGGGGGAATTGTCTGGAGCAAGAGAGAATTGGTATTCTCTTTGAAACAATGAAGTACAATAATTGTATTTGAGACACCTAGGGATGTGTTAGTACGAAAGGGGCATTCCACCCTTCTCCCTCACAACACTTGGGAATGGCTGAAGTTAAGGGACATTTTCTCCTCTTCCACTCCATGCACACAGGAGAAAGGACAGCATGATGCATTCTCTCTGATCAATCCCCACCTTACTGGTCAGAGCTGACAACAAAGGAGCTAAATTATCCCCTTCCTCTGATGAAATCCGTGTGTATCCAAAAAAAGAAAATTCTTTCTCCCAACAATATACAACAGCAGATATAACAGATATGGAAATGAAAACACTGGGTGCAGTGGACAGAATCTAATGATGCTAACATGGTGTTGACTTTTCGGATACCCACAATGGGACAAAGGTTTAAATGGAAACTCTCAAATCACTTGGGCCCTCACAATTGCAAGCATCTGAGTAAGAATTATCCTCAGATTTTAAAATCCCTTTATTATTCATGATTACAATACTTGTTTTATCCAGCACTGTAATTGAGAATTAAATAAAATAAAAACCATTGCAGTCATTGTTTCTGAGTTACCCTGAAATATTTTTGCTTTGCTGTTTCAGAGACATATAAACAGCAATCACATGTTAACTAAGGCTTTGTCTACACCACACAGCTTTCAGCGATAAGGCTGTGCTGCTACAGCTGTGCTGCTAAAAGCTGCACAGTGTAGCTGCTGTTTACTGGCAGGAGAAAGCTCTCCTGCCGACAAAAAACTTCCACCCCCCACGAGTGGCTGCAGCTTCTGTTCACACCAATGCTTTTCATCAGTAAAACTTTTGTCACTCAGATGTGTGTGTGTTTTTTAAGACCCCTGAATGACAAAAGTTTTGCCAACGAAGTTACAGTATAGACAAAGCCTAACAAAAACTTGTTGATACTACTAAAGCTCTGCCATTATAGAAAAAGATCAATCATGATACTGAGAACCTCAAGAGAATAAATGGGAAAACCCATGTTTCTTTTAGGGCACACATGCAAACATAGGATTGTGGAAGAAGTTGTTGTTTGAAGGAAAACACCAACGGGGAAAGAAAAATTATCAAGCATCAGATAGTAAATTCCAAAATTTAATAGTTAATGACTAAAAACTAAGCACATCCGGCAGTGCCACTTTTAACTTTCTATATTTTCATACAGATGTTCTTTGCTTATGCTGGAACATACTGGATCATCAAAATAATACTCTTACATTTATTGTACTAAAGGAAGTGCTTTGGTGCTTTACAAGCTACATATACAATAATTACTTCATTCATCACTGAAATGCAACTGCATTGGGTTGGAATCAAGCAGCTGTTTAACAACACAGTTTGGGACAGGATGTACAGGAGGATACATTATCCAGCAGAAACTGCAGGGGGAATTTAAGGAGGCAGAATGCAACTACCAGAGTTGGAATTTGGCCACCTATCTGGGGTTGAGACCCCCTATTCTTAAGATATGTGCCAAGCACCAGTTCTTTTCTGTGCAGTCATTCCACCACCTTGAATATTTCTAGGGAAATAGTTCACTTTGTATTTTGTTGGTAACATTCTTACCTAGAGAGCATGCCCAGAGGAGTAACATTAAGTGATCCCATCAGCATTGCCAGGGCCATCCCTGGGGCCTCTCGCTCTATTACTTCTTTAGTGGCCTGTAATCAAAGATTAAACAGCAGACTGAGTGAAAACAACGAAAAGAAACGAAAAGAAATGTGAAACTAACTAAAGTTTGTATAAGAACATTCCCCTTTTTTCTTAAATGTGATCAGCATGGAAGTTTCAGCCGTGAGTGTTACAAATTCAGAGTGGAGACCGTCAGCTTTCCTGAGGTCTTCCCCTCTTGTGATATAGAAGATGCCCATGACAAATACTGGATTCTGAAATTCATCCCCTAAAGAATATTTTCTTGCTTGTGTAAAGAAAATAAACATAACATGGAAAATACAAAATCACTGTTAGATTTAGTGTAACAAATTATTGTGAGAATACTGAAAGCCTTGTGCTCTGGGACCTTCATGTTTGCAGGGACTATTAAATTCCACTGCATGAATAATGACAACTTCCTCTATCAGGAATGAAATAGCATTTGGCAACTAAGCAAGAAGACTAGTTGTAAATACCCCCTTATCATCATGTGAATTTTCCTGTTGGCTTTTTTAAGGGGAATAGGAGGGGAAGTATAAAGCAATCTGAACAGGAGCAGGGAAAAGAACCTGCTAAATGAAGCCCATGTAGCAGACAGACAGGAAAAATAGTGAAAATGAAAATGATAATGGCCAGGGGATGGCAGAAAGCTGCAGCCTTCCCTATCAATTACATCAGCAAAGTGGTGGTTCCAAACAAGCCAGTGGCATTTGTTCACAGAAAGCTCATATGCATTAGGCATCAGGAGGACGGTAGTACAGTCACAAAATTTTCACAATTTTTTGCATGTAAGGAAATGGGTGAGAAATTATTTTTAAGGGGCATGCATACTTTTCTGCTGCCACTTCATATTTGTCATATAGGATTAGATTTATCTATTCTAGTCTCTAACATCTAGCACTGGCCAATACCTGATACTTTCTCCCATTCCTTATATGTAGGGGATAAAAACCTCCTGATCCTTGCAGAGAACAGTTTATGCTCTGAACCATGTTACTGGATTACCCTTTTCTTACCATAAATAGTTATGAATGTTACTAACTCCCATAAAATGATCAAATCCATTTTTTAAAAATGCAACCAAACTTCTTTGTACAGTGATCAGTAGAAGGGACAAGGAAGCAAGAAACTCCTTGTTAGGAAGGTCACTGTCAATATACTAAATATTCTTTGCATAATACTTTTCATTTTGACACTGAAAGAATTAAAATAAAGAATAATAGGTAAAGGATTGCATGGAAAAGTAATATATTACAAATCAATTACATTTACCTAGCATGTTTCATTCAGAAGCAGCAGACCCCAAATTGCTTTGCAGGCTGTGGGCTCAATTGTTGTATTGCAATATGCCCCAAGAAGATACTATGTCTCAGTGGATTCAGTGTGCCAACCCTTGTGATATTTGGCGTTATTCTTGAAGCCCTACTCTTGGAGTCACATGATTACATGAGTATTTCATTAAAAAAAAAAAATTCTAGCTCTCATGGTTCCAGATGAAAGCTTGAAAATGTGAGCCCTAAAGGTTCCAAACCCCAAAGGCAAATAAAACTCCCAAATGTACTATTTTGAAATTTTCATACTTTTTAAGCCTATCTCATGAGTTCTGGGAGCCTGACTGAAACAGTAGGGCTTGGCAATACTGATGTCTCCACATCCAGAAGGGTGCAGAGACACTATATCACTCCTGAAGTGGGTGCAATAGGGAAACACAAGGTCTGCTGCATTGTGTCTAACCCTTGAGGTGGTGTGTAAAAGGGATGTGAAATAAATACTGCAACTATAATCCCTTCAGCAAATATAAAAGTAAAGATTAAAATTCTTACAGGTACAGCTACTAGATTCTACATAGAGTTCACCAGTGAAAAAAGAAAACAGGAATTGGGGGGAACATTGCTGGTATTAAGAACACTTTGTACTTATTTTGCACTTCTCATCAAAGGATCTCTAAGCATGTTGCAAACATTAATTATTTCTCTCTTATATTATCCAGGAGAGGTAAGTATATCCCCCATTTTACATATGGGAAAACTGAACCATAGATAGGTTAAATAACTTGCCTAAGATCACAAAGTGAGTCAGTGGCATAGCCAGGAATCAAATCTCTCTTTAAGTCCCATAAGAGAACATGTTACAGGGCAAACCCTAAAAAAAAGAATATGCCTATTGCATATTGCTTACGCAACAGGCATTACCACTAGCAACATCTTCCAAAGGTAAATATAATACCAACAGACATAACATATAACCACAGAGAAAAGACCCCAATCTTTCATCAAGATGCAAACTGGTATGTGCACTCCGTCCTGGAAACTAGAAGCTTAGGCTTATGCTAAACCAAAGAATTTGAATGCAGTAATAGAAACTACATTTCCCTTCAATTCATGCATATAGTATACGTTGTACAATATCTCCCATCTTCCCTTCAGAAACAGAAAAGGCATAAAAATGCAGCTTCATGTTTTCATTGCTGCAAAAAGGAAATGGGAAGACATGAGTTGGAAACAATAGAAACAAATCTCAGATCTCTATGTTGAATAAGATGTTCTGCCAAAAAATATACCTGGTTTGATATAAAATTATCAATCACTCACTGAAAATCTAAAAGATTTGGTGTGTTTTACAGTATAGAAGAAATATACATTACAGCAGGGGTCAGCAACCTCTGGCACG